ATCTGACTTCGCTGCACATTCTGTTTAGTTTGTTTTCCTTAACACCCATTGGGGAATCCAGGCTTAACACTGGTTATGGGCCCAGAGAGACTGCAAAGTCAGTTTAACTAGGATAAAAACAGGTTTATGTAAAAAGTGAGATTTTGTGTTGTTACACGTTACAGTAAACAGACAGCTGTGTTTTATCAATTATAGTTTTATATCCATATATTGGAACATGGCACAAGTCAGTCTACAAAGTTTGTCCCTTATATCCAAGCTGGATGGAACAAACTGTTTCATGGTCTATGAAATGTAGTCTACTTCTAAGAAGAGAAGGTTTGTGGAACATACTTGAAAACCCACCAAACGTAGAAGAATGGGATCCTGAAGATGAGGAAGATAGTCAAAAGATAGAAGAATTTAAACAGAAAAATGAACAAGCTCTTTGCATCATAGGACTAACATTATCTGATCAGCAACTTGTTCATATACGAGGAGAGCAAACAGCTGTTGGGTGTTGAAAAAAACTGAAGAGGATTTATGTCCGAGATAACGTTGGTGCTCACATAAATCTAACACGGAAGCTTTTCCAGACGCATCTCCAAAAGAATGGTGATATGCTGAGTCATTTGAATACTATGAAAAGCATTTTTCAAGAACTTCATGAGAAGGAGTTAATTTTCTCTGAGCTACACCAGGTCTACATAATTCTATCTTCATTAGACGAAAGTTTTGATGACTACGTAACTTCCCTTGAAATATTGCCTAAAGAAAGTCTAAATTTAACTGATATCACTGGCAGATTGATTGAAGAGGCCAGAAGAAGGCTTGAAAGAGATCAGTTAAGGAGGGAGCAACCTCAAAAGGAAAATAATGAATCTCCTACTGCATACGCAATTAAAAAGTGTTTTAATTGTGGAGGGAGAGGACATTTGGCAAGATTTTGTAAGAAACCAAAGCACCAGAATACAAGCCAGAATACTGGAAGATATCAAAGAAGAAATAAGAATTTTGAGTTAGCCATGTATAGTAATGAAGTTGTAAAGAATAATTTATGGTGGTTGACAGTGGTGCGTCCCACTGTATTACAAATGATAACAAAAAATTTGTAAAAATGTCTATGAGTTCACAGCATATCTCATTGGCAAACGGATGGAAAATGAAAGCGAACGGTGAAGGTATTGCTCATTGTTCTAGTATAAATGAGAACATAAAAATGTTATATGTACCTCAACTTAAATTTAATTTGCTTTCAGTTAGAATGTTGGTTAGATTAGGATACATAGTTACCTTTAGGGGAGATACTTGTTTAATTGAAAAAGAAGGTAAGAAAATTACTGCATCTTTAAGAGGTGACTTGTATGTGTTAAATGATAATGGTTTAAAAGTGGCTAACACAGTTTATGATAATAAGAAACCTCATAATGAATGTATTCACTTGTTACACCGAAGGCTAGGTCATTTAAATTTTAAAATGATTAAGAGAACTGTTCAACTATCTAAAGGAATAAGTTTGAAACCTTGTAATAAGTATTTGCAATGTTCTGCTTGTAATCAAAACAAAAGCAAAGTTATACCGGCAAATAGAGTTGATGGATTTACTACAAAAGAGCCTTTAGAGGTAGTATTTGCCGATATAATAGGTCCTAAAAAGCCAAGTGTAGGTGGTGCTAGATACATATTAAGCATAATGGACCACTATTCTAGGTATGGTTTCTGTTTTTTAATGAAGAGAAAAACTGAAACGTATACAAATTTCTTTAATTGGTTAAAATTTGCAGAGAGGAAAACTAAAAAGAAATTAGTAACTCTTATAACAGATAATGGTACGGAATTTACAAATAATAAATTCCAGAGTAGACTTAGAATGGCAGGTATTCAACATAAAAAGTCTGCACCATATAGGCCTCAGCATAATGCATTTATTGAGAGACGAGGCCAAACACTGCAATCAATGGGAAGGACAATGTTATCTGATTCTGGATTACCTGACAATTTGTGGGGAGAAGCTATAATGTGTGGTAATCACATATTAAACAATGTTGTTAATTCAACAACAGGTGAATTACCATTCACTCTGTGGCATGGTAGGAAACCTGATTTGAGTTATATTCACACATTTGGTGCACCAGCATGGGTGCATATCCCTACACAACTCAGGCACAAAGGACAACATAGAGCTAAAAGATTAATTTTTGTTGGATATCAAGCAAACCATAGATCTTATAGATTCTGGGAACCAGGTACATCTAGAGTATACTGCAGTGCTAGTGCACAGTTCGTAGAACATATAGGATGGAATGGATTAGAGCAGGATTCAGATAATGATGTTATTATAGAACCCTATAAGAGGCAGAAAGAAAAGACTAGTTATAAGAAAAGTCCAATTAAAGAAGAAGTCCATGAAGAGCAAATAGAACCAGATCAAGAGGAAATAATTGATCAAGAAGAGATAGATAGTCAAGAACAGGAAATAAAGGAAAGTCCACCTGTAAGTCCTGTTATACCTAGACACGTATAACTAAACCACCTGAAAGATATCAGGCAAGTATTGTTTGCCAAGTAAATAAAGTTCCTACTAGCATAGATGAACTTAAGATGTATCCTGCTAAGGATCAGGAGAATTGGCAAAAGGCAATGGAAAAAGAGTTAAATTCATTAAAGGAAATGAAAGTTTATGAAGAAACCAAATTACCTCCAGGAGAAAAATCCATTGGGTGCAAATGGATATTCAAAGTAAAGACTGGAAATAATGGGAAAGTAACTTATAAGGCTAGGTTAGTAGCACAAGGATTTAATCAAAATGTATTTGATTATGATGAGGTATTTGCACAAAATCTTAAGGCAACAACTTTAAGAGCAGCTTTAGTGTGGGCAGCTAAGAAGAATTATATTGTTAACCATCTAGACGTAGAAATTGCATATCTGCATGCACCATTGCAGCACACAATATATTTGAAAAAAACAGTTGGTATAAATGATAATAAAGTAAATAGCAACGATTGTTGGAAACTCAAGAAGAGTTTATATGGATTGAAACAATCTGGCTATGAATGGAACCAATATATTGTGAAAGAATTAAACAATATAGGGTTTAAATCTGGTTTAGCAGATCCATGTATGTTTAAAAGAGAAAAAAATGGAACGGTGTCATTATTGTTATTATTTACAGATGATATTGCTTTGATTACTAAGACCAATAATGAAGCTACTGAGATTATTTCATTATTAGCCAAAAGGATAAAATTAAAGCATTTAGGTGAAATTAAAAAGTATCTAGGATTGACAATTAACAAAACCACAAAAGGATTTAAGATATCTCAAGAGGATAAAATTTGCCAATTAATTAAATTGTATAAAATGGAACTTTGTAAGCCTGCAAAGACTCCAATGAGTCAGGAAATTTGCAAAATTGATGCTCAAAGTCCCAAATTTGATAAGACCATATATCAATCTTTAATTGGTAGCTTATCATATATAAGCAATTGGTCAAGGCCAGATATAGCTTATAGTGTTAATCAACTGGCACGATATAATAATGATTCACATCAATGTCATTGGCAAGCATTAAAGAGAATTTTAAGATATCTTAAAGGAACAATGCACCATGCATTGTATCTAGAGCCAAAAGGTGATTTGAATCTTAGTGCCTATGCAGATGCAAGTTTTGCAACTGACATAAACACTAAAAAATCAACATCTGGGATGGCTATATTATTTGGTAAGACACTAATAGGGTGGAGGTCAATCAGACAACAGCATATTAGCTTGTCAACAATGGAAGCAGAATTTTCATGTCTGTCATTACTATGCACTGACTTAATTCTGTACAAACAATTATTATTAGACATGGGTATAACTGTTAAAGATTCCATTATTGTGTACGAGGACAACCAGGCAGCTATACAATTAGCTACTAATATTGCTGTAAAGACTAGATCAAAGCATACTGATTTAAGATACTTAAATGTTAGAGAATCTGTTAAAAATGGTCTAATTAAACTAGAGTACTGCATGACAGAAGAAAATATTGCAGACCAGTTTACAAAAGCTCAAGGTGTTGTAAAATTTAAAGAGAGCTGTAACAATTATGATTTAAAGGTGTAAATGGTTATATTATTGTAATATTATTATTATTACCCAAAAAGGGAGAATGTTAGGGATAACATTGTTTACCCTAACTGTTTTGGGTAAAAATAAT